GGAAATCGATTTGATTCTAATCGCACCATGAAAAGAACATGATCTAACTGCTTTCAGCCCTCCGTAAATCTGTACTAGGTCTTTAGCACAATGCAACTTCCAATTTAAAAAGCACTGAATGTCTCGTCAATGACTTTGTGAAGAAAAAAGAACAAGGAGCAGACATAAAAATTCCAATAGTTGTTTAAGCATTAAAGTTCATTTGCATCACAGCAAACCTGAAAAGGGCTGACCTCTCAAACCGCCTCTCAGGTCTATGAAGTTGTAGCCTTGACAAGCTCACATTGACAGAGCTCATTGACTCTGAAAGGCTACTCTATCAATGGTGAAAAATGGCAATAGGTTCTACTCTGAGCAGGCATCTGCCTGCCCACCCGCTGCTAAACCAATGGCAAAACTGATTCAAAACCTGAATCTACCTTGTAATCTTCCTTTCCAGGGCTTTTTCATAATAGATTAAGATCACTATACAATTTAATTTCATTGTTTGCCCCAAAGAGTGTGAAAAACATCCAAGCTTTTCAAATTCCAATAAAATTACATATATAATACAATACATACATATAAATAAGAAACTAATAGAAAGTTATGTACTATTCATTGGTTTATTTAAATAAGAGGCCAGTTTGAAGTAGTTTGACTAGTGTAAGATAAAAACACATGCAGCCTTGAGACCACAATTATTTATGTTCCCAGAGTTACTTCCTGTAATACAATTTGGGATAGACAACGCTCCCAAATCACACCATATTATCAATACAGAGATGTTAACGAAAATTAGACTAAAATATTTCTGCAAACCTCAGAGCTTGGCATAAAAAGAAATTAATTAAACAGCATCACACAATTCACTATAGTAAGTTTTCTTCCAACTTGACAGGTGAAAAAAAAGCATGTGCACGTGCAGCTTAATTAATCACTGCTCTTGACATCTCAATGATTTACAGTGAGGAGCAGGTGAGGATATACAAAACCAGAAAGGAACACTTGATTTGAGTGTAGCATTTCCAGCACACTAGGATGACAAGCTTATATATTCTATCAATGGTGTACAGAAAAACCCGTACAGCAAATTATTTGTTAGCCACAACAAAAGCACAAATTAAGTGGAAGAGAGACTTGCTTATTAGGAAGATTTAATACTATCCAGTTTTAAAATTTTCTTTCTTAAAAACCCAATCCAATATTCCAGCAAAGATAGAACTGCAATTCAAGTACACTTTTTAGCATACCAGTGATAAGAAAGTATGCTTTGTAACATACTCCATGAAAAATGCAGATACTCTTTACTGTTATCTGCAGAGTTTTGTGAAAAACCTCTTCAATCAACTATCTACATGATATGTTTAATGAAACATTCCTGTAAAATACTGATTCCTCATACTCGTGTCTGACACGGTCATCAAAAAGGCCCAACTCAGAATACATTCACACATATTTGCTGCTCCCAATTAAGTAAAATAAAGTTTTGCCCTTAAACAAGGAAGAAAGAGTATATATGACCTTTCTATGCAGAAAAACGTTAGTACTGCATACAAATAGTGTGTTACCTGTATTGCCAACTACAAGATCTTTCTGTTGTGTTTTTGCAGTGCTTAGTGAAGTCAGCCTACAGTTCCACATGGGCCAAAGCCCCCCTGCTGTAAATCAGTGAATTTACTGTAAATCAGTGAATGACTGGTACCATATCAAACAAAAGGATCTTACATGACTCCCAAATGGTGCTAATTTGAGCACCTGCCTTTGTCTTTTTTAAGCAGGGAAACGACTGTGCCAGTAAGCATGCTATTCTCCACTATCAATTTTATTTGTAGTTGACTAGGGACAACAGCAGAATCTGCTGCTATATGCATTTGATCTTTGAATTTGCATCCAAAATCTCCAAAACATATGTAAATGTAGTGCAGAGTTAGTCCAATAAATAATACATGGAGATTTTCAAATTACTTCATATAAAAATTATCACAATTTAGTAGTAATATTTTTAATATTGCCCTGAAAAAATACATGTTACGCTCAAGTTTAAAAGTACAAGACCTATTTAAGCAGATTTGTTGATAAACAGATGGCCAGAATTTTTATTGCACCTCCTGGAAGAAAGGCAAAGGACCCTATCAAGAGGTCTGAACTACACCCTCTCTGCTCACTCTAAGAGAAAAATGATGGAAATGGGAATTTCTGTTCATTTTTCAAATAACAATATACCTGGCCACAAACTTTATAGCCAAATAAGTTAGTTATCGGCACAAACAATTAAAGCTAGAAGATAACCAAGTCACACGACTGCATGCTCAGTTTCAACACACCAAAACATCCTCTCAGTCCATTTTGAGGCCCATATTGATGTCAGAAAATGCCAAAGCTTAACTCAAAACATGCATAACTGAATTACATCTATGTTATCTGTGATGAGAAACTCCCCACCTTGATTTATTTGTATCACAAATAAACCCTTTAGAAATAGTAACTTGGCAAGACTCCCTTCTTACTGAGAAATTCTCTATTTATGAAGCGTAAAGATGACAAAGGTGAAACCTGAGTTTATCGCATATCCCAACATCCCAGATGACTTGCTTCCTACATACAGGAGTTTTAGAAGTTGACTGTTCAACCACATCAGTGTATCTTGCATCATCTTTCCAATTAGTAGCTATTTCTTACTAGAGACTCTTGCCAGGGTGCTCATCCCAAAAGCCACTGCAGTAGAAGAAAGTAGAAGAAAGTGAAACCCACATTGCACAGCTTGAAGAATATCTGAAAATGAACATAGCATGCTGCTATGTTTATACAATCTTGAAATAACTGTTTTGTCCAACAGGATTACTATTGCTGAATCTTATCTTACAGTTGTGACCCCAGTGACCAAAGAACAGATCAAAGCTCCTGATCAGGCAATGAGAAATACCATTAATAGAATTCTGAAGCAGAATAGCCAATGTCAAGTTGACCTCAGGAAAATTCCCATTCTAAAAGACAGCCCTGAAGATATTGTCCTATATCCTTACCAAAAATATTATTCTGTGATAAACTGACAGAATTTGTACAGGTCTCAACTCTGAGTTGGTACTTATATACACCTGAAGCATAATGAAACAAATTTGATCAACTACTTTCTGGGAAGGTCTCTTCCACCAAATTGTCTGCTGATACTAAGAGAAGAGCAGCATTATTTGACATTACTGCATGTGACAGTTTTTAATATTGAAGTCAAAGACTCAGAGATTCTGGTTACCTTGATTTTCAGACTCCTAGACTGTTTAAGAAAGCCCTAAAGCCATGAAATATGAGAATAACGGAGAAGGTGTACAGAAACATACGGCCCAT